TTCGAGACTGTACCCCACCATTCCTGAACAGAGAGGGTGGAGGATGTCCAGTCTGCGTCACTGAGGTGGGGACGTACCCCGGCTCAGCTTGTCGGCGAAAACACGTGCGTCTAAGGCCGTGTCTCGTAGCACGGTAGTGGCCCTGGCAGAGCCAGGCGACACTAGGGGGTGTCGCATGCAGATGTGCGGTGGCCCACCAGTAAAAATGTCGCCTGGTCTAAGAGGCTGCTGCCTTCTGCCTCCAAGGTCTCCAGAGTGCTGGTCACGCATAATAATGTGCTCAAGCAACTCTGCCCTCAGGCCTGGATGGGCGGCTATCCCCCTTTGCCCGGTTTGCCAAATTCGTGGTACCGGGGTCTGGGGAAGGAGCCTTGGAATCCGGTTGGGGGCGTTTTGGTCTCATCCCACGCTATGGGGTCTGATCTTGAAACCACACCGACTGGGTGGTCCAGTGGGAAGTGTTGCCTAATGTTATCCCCACCCGGGGGCCTTAAGCATTACATCCTCCATGGCTGACCAACGCCGCCCATCAACACCGTTTGCATGTTCTGCGCCCCACTCCGCACTCAGGCGGACAGGGAGAGATGTGCCAACGGGGTTGCTTTGGATCCCGATGCCCGTGATCCCATAAGCGTTGAAGCAACCTTACATGTATGTGGTCGCTTTAGGATCAAGGGTGGGGATATATACATCGTATCACTGGGATCGATGATACTCGGCCTCACCCCAAAAGCGTGGCTCACCGAGTCATACAGATGGAAAACTCTGAGGGATCGCCCGGAGTACCGGCTGTATCCGACGTAAGCAAACTGCGTCTACTTTCACTTTAAATATGTGAGAGGGAGCGTGTTCGACTGTGCGTCTCATAACAGAGGACGCTCGTGGGTCGGTAAGAAAGGAGTCAAAACCCACAGCGGAGACCGGACACAAGGATAAATTCGTTACCGTTGTACCATTACCGCGTGACGAACCCTAGCTGGCTGAAAGTGGGGGGGGGGGGTGTGTGTGTCAACGTGTGCCCTGCCCTGAAAGCCCTGCCCCGAGATCAGAGACTTGGCTGCCAGCACGCCGTTGGCATTCAGTGCCTGAGGATCCAGAGAAGGACCGGTGCAATTAGCCTGAGCCTCGGCCACTCCCCAAAATAGTGGGAGAGCCGTGACTGGGAACGGGGGTTCCCCGGAAGAGACGTGTTTGAATGCAAACATGCTTTCGTGTCTCTTCCTGCTTGCCCATCGAGGGGACACAGCGGAGACAGCTCGCTCCAACTGCGTCTGATCTACCTGGCCTGCCAGGGATGCAATTGCCCCGACAGTCCTTCGACCAAAGCCCTCAACTCGGAGGCAAACCCGGCGCCGTGCGAGGAAGGGTCCACAAAGAGACCCGCAACAGGCCCCATTGGAGGAAAGCCTCCAGGGGCACAGCCTCGCTGCAGCCAGTAAAATCGGGAAAAACACTGCCTGAAAAAATACTGTGAGGATGCCCTCCGATCAGCGGGGGAGACCGAGAAAAATATCGGTACCTCCAACGTCGGGCCTCCTACTTGACGTCCCGGTACATGAAGTACCGGTAGCCAAGCGCGAGGACTTCCACTCATGCAAAACACGCAACTCACTTTAACCGATTTGTTTACTGGACGTGCGACCTTGCTGTGATGCGGTCAGTCTCAGCGATTTTGATGGCTCTGAAATAAAATCTCAGGCCTCAGAACTCCAGTAAAAAAAAAACATGCTTTCATGCAAAAACCTCGAAACCCGCACGTAGCTACGACAAAGTATCTCGGAAGCGGGTTCTATGCTGGTAAATTCTGAACATAACCACTGCACGGTTGACTCGAAACACGAGGAGACCGGAAAGAAAACGGCAGTGAGCCCTGGTGCTGTCATTACATCTATATATTGCTAAATACATTGAAAATAAAAGACGACATGCATGAGGGAAACTAATTACAGTTGTAAAAGGTGCCGCCATGAAAACCAACTGGTTACGTAGTGGCGCCGGATTTTAATTTCTTTGTTGTGAAAAAATACTATACACAAAGGGTAAAACGACACGAGGGTAAAAATGACAAGGAAAACTTATCCTACCAGCTACAATGCCGTGCAGCGGCAACAACCCAAGCTATAAATCCGGACAGGAAAAAAAAAAGCAGGCGATCCAGCAGAGCTCGCTAGATTTCATCTCCACTCGAGGCGGAGAGAAAATGATGGACGGCTACCTGTGGTGCTGCCAGGTGGCCTCGGTCACGAGGGTTCGTGACGTAACGGGTAAAAGAATCAAGAGATCATGGGGCTTCCCCTGACCTGGATTTTATCTCTCCGTCACCGGCAGAATCGCTGATTAATGCCTACAGTTCAAAATAGTCATTTCGACTGACAAGAGTCTATGCTGGGTAATTGAACGCAGTGAATATGAATATTATTAAGGTAGAGATGCAGTTTACCTGCAAGGTATTTTAATTAGTTAATTAAAACCAAGATGA